GTATTATTGGTGTGACACTCATGATACTGAGTGCTGTTTGTGGATATTCTTAGTTAGTATTTTCAATAAATATACAAATATACATCACAGGAGAGGAAAATGAGGTATAAGAAATTAAGTGACCACTAATCCACGAAGCTAGTTAATGCTGGAGGCAGGAATCAAACCCAAAATCTCTGACTTCAAACAAATGCATTTCTTCATTGTACTTTAAAAGTCCCAAGTACAAATTCAATAATGAGCATACATAAAACAGATAAACTCATGGTAAGTCACATTTGGTTTAATAAATGGACCAAGCCATTTTATAATCTACTTATTTCTGTAGCTGATAAATCCAGTTCCTTAATATTATGTCAACATAAATATTTATTTAGATGGACAAATAAGCCAGTTCATATAAATTTCTTCAAGGGATAATGTGATAATAATAAATGTTAGTGTACATCAATCACTGGCAATGTGCAAAGTAGTATTCTCAGCACTTTAACTCAATAAGTGTTCCCTAGAGCCATATTGTGTAGGTGCTGCTGTAAACTCTATACATGATGAAAGCTATATTTGTAGAGATTAGCTGCCCAAAAGTGAAAGATGTAAGGAACTCTTGTTCCTTTACTCTTCAAATACCTTGATTTGCCTAAATGATATTTTTATTTATTTCATATAGTTAGATTATCAGTCATTCATAAATAAATCTTAGAATCATTAGGCATAATGATGTGAGTAACACACAATTATGATAAATACAATAAAGAAACAAATATCCAAATATCAAAAAATATGAAAGTATATCACAAAAGGCCATAACGGTGGCATGACCAAATGAGCACCGGGGCTCTTGCGGCGGGCAAGGCAGGGTGCCGGCAGCGTCCTCAGAGCATGTGAGGCGTCGCCGGGCAGCAGACATGATCCTGATGGCAGGCTAGGCTTAGGGGACCTTACAAGTGCATGATTTAATCATGCTCTGGACCTCTAGTCTTACCCAATAATAGGTAAACATGCAAATAGACCATACCTTCTCTATGCCTTAAGCCACACTCACCAACCAATCAGAGCAACTATATGCAAATTAAACCAACCACGATGGTGGCCAGCAGCCACAGAGTGGGAGCAAGCAGGAGGCTTGGTTGACCCAATGATGGAGGAAGCCAAGCTTCCCGGCAGGCTCTGAGCTCCACTCAAAGCAACAAAGTTTCAAATAGAAGGTAAATAAACCCCAGATACCTGCTTCCAGCCGGCCGCGAGCAGGAGGCTTGGTTGCGCCAGCAATGGAAGAAGCCAAGCTTCCCGGCCAGCTGCTGCCTCCTCTCAAGGCAACAAAGTTTCAATTATAGAAGGTAAATATACCCCAGATACCTGCTTCCACTCGCCATGGCCACGGAGCTGGAGTGACTTTAAAAAAAAAGGAGAGGGAGGGGAAGGCTGGGAGCTTAGGTCTCAGGGTGGCTTGGTCAGTCTGAAAACAGCCATCAGCCCCTCACCCAGGCTGGCCAGGCCCCTCAGGACACCCTAGCACTAAGGATGTCCAACTGCATCTTAGGTCTGCTGGTAAGTGGACATCCCCCGAGGGCTGCCAGGCTACCAGAGGGATGTCTGACTGCCAGCTTGGGCCCAATACCCCAGGGAGCAGGCCTAAGCCAGCAGGTGGACATCCTCCAAGGGGTCCCAGACTGCAAGAGGGCACAGGCCAGGCTGAGGGACACCCCCGAGTGCACAAATTTTTGTGCACCGGGCCTCTAGTATTTAAATAATAGCAAATAGGTATTTTAATGTTTAGGGTCTTTTTTGAAATATAAATCTATTTTAAATTTTTGAAAGCTAAATAATTTAATTTTAACTTGAATAACATGA